TATACCGCAGAGTAAGATTAAATTAATTTACATCTGACCAGATTAATATGGAGAGGCACTCTAATATAGACCTTCGTTTATGTGTTTTTGACTTTCACTGCACTGTACATGACGTGAGAACAGTTCGCTATTTAGGTTTGTACGTTAGCATGGACTCACTAACTTTAACGCTAACGTTAGTTAGTTTTAGCCAGAGATACCTTGCTGAAGCACAAGATGGCATTAACGTTCTGCTTGAGCAGAATTGGGGAATTGGGACTTTATATTTTCAAATTGTGAATTTATATCTTAAAATGCGATGTACTTTTATATCTCACAATTGTGACTTTGTTTCTGATAATTGTGACTTTATATTTGACAGAGCAATTTTATATCGGAGACATGATTTCACATCTTGCACTTCCAATCTTAAAATTGCAACTTTATTTCTTGGAATTAAGATTTTATATGTTCAAATAATGAATTTAAAATGTGACCGTACCCCCAGATTGTGACTTTATATCTTTTAATTGCAACTTTGTTTCTGATACTTATGATTTTATATCTCACAATTATGACTTTGTTTTTCATAATTGCAAAATTATATCTCACACCGTGTCTTCATATCTAGCAATTGCGACTTTGTTTTCTCTGATTTCTCTAATCGAAATCTCTAATTTATTTCTTGGAATATTGACTTTATATCTTCAAATTATGTCTTAGGACATTTCCATGTCTAAAATGGGACATATACTAAAAAAACATTTTGCATCTCACAATGCAATTCGACTTTATGTTTGGCCATTGCAATTTTATATCTCACAATGTGACTTTATTTCTTACTTCAAACTTTATCTTGCAATTACCTTTTTATTTTCTACTCAAATGTGGAAACAGGTTTCCATTATAATAAAGGATAAAGTTATCAATAAAAACAATTGTTTTCAGAAATATTAGCAGCACCAAATGAAAACTGCAAAAATATTGTTTGTTTCCAAACAGGTTTCCTAAACCAAAATACTGAAATCATGAAATGATGAGTACTGAGAAAAATGATCAAAGTGCACAATGACTTCTTTGTGCAGATGATGCTTACAGGATGAGTTATCCATAATGGTAGAGGCTGATTGTGACATGCTGGTGTCTCCTGTCTTCTCCTCAATTTTCTCCTCTGTTTTCTCCTCCAGTTTATCGTCTAACTCTACAGGCCGACACTCTTCCCCTTTCTCACAAGCCCCGCCTTCAGAGTCTGATGGCTCCTCCTCCACACCACACACCTGTCCACTAGAGCGGGAAAATCTGGAGAACAGGATACCGCCAATGCCTTTACCTATACTTGCCGCTCCTGTGGAAAAACAAGTATGTATGGTTACTGTTAGAAATCAGGATTGCTTTGGCATATACAGTGGGTACGGAAAGTATTATATACACACACACACACCAATGTACCTGGCAACCAAATGGTGCCGCAGGTGCAGTTCACAGAGCAGTGTATATACCAATGGAGCACCGGCTTTTCGTCAGTAGAGTGTTCGGTGTCAGAATGGGAAAAGCTGCCAATTTATCGAAGTTTGATAAAGGACAAATTATGATGGCACGGCACCTTGGAACTTCGATCTCGGAAACAGCGTGCCTTGTGGGTTGTTCACATGGGTTGTTGTGGTGAGTACGTATCAAAAGTGGTGCACAGATGGCCAAACGAAGAACCGTCGTCCAGCCGTGTGTCATCCGCAGCTCACTGATGCCAGAGGGGATCAGACACTGTTCACAACGACTGCAGGGCCAAGCGCAGATACACCGATTACCAACAGAGGATGCACTGTTGGGTGGACACTTCTTCTTAGGACACTTTAGGCCCCATTATCCAAATAGCACAATTCCTGACAGCTGTCAGGTATCTGAACATCGTTGCGGACCAAGTGCACCCATTCATGGCAGCTGTGTTCCCTGCCAGTGATGGCCGTTACCAACAGGATAATGCGCCATGCTACACTGAAAGAATTGTCGAGGAGTGGTTCGAGGAACATGATAGTGAATTTCTGCTAATGCCTTGGCCTCCAAATTCAGCCAGTCGAACATTTGTGGTTCGCGCTACAATGTATGGGAACTGGAGGACCTGCTGTTGACATTATGGTACCAGATCCCCCAGAAGACCACCTTGTTGAATTAATACCTTGCCACATAGCCACTGTTCTGTCGGCTAAAAGAGGTCCTACAGGTTATTAGATAGGTGGTCATAATGTAATGGCTCATCGGTAGCAGAGCCATTCAATGGATTCAGAATTAATACATATATTTAAATCTAAGCAGAGATTTTGATAATCTAGTTTATTTCTGATATTTTTGTTTTGGCCATTAATATATATATTATTGTTAAGGGCTTTTCCAAATCTCTAGTTGTTTCTGTGACACTTCCTAATTGCTTTCTATTGATCCAATGCTTTGCTGAGCTGTTTCTATTTATCGCTTTGCGCGCTAAAATCAAGAGCTATAAACTGCAGATACGCAGTAACTGAAGGCAGGCTGCCATTATCTCAGTATTTGGGAAGCGTAATCCTACTCCTCCACTGCACAGTATACATCCTGCTCGCCCTGCGAGTGTTTTACTATTCCAGACGCCTTTAATGATCTCTCTCTCTATCTCACCCATAATGCTGGCCTTGCCCAGGCTGGTGATAGACTCGCCGTAGTGTCTGCGGGGCTGTGGAGGGGAGGTGCAGGGGCTCGGGAGGCTCTCCGTATCGGACACAGAAGCACTTTCCTTTGACGGATTAAGTAGAGTGGGACGGATCTGGTCATACGGTGTGGGGCTGCTGGTGTTGTACCTAAAAAAAAAATCAATGGTTACATGAATGTACAAAAATATATGCAGTCACAGAGTGCATTGTACATTATAGAAACAGCACTTTATTTGCTTACAATATTTTTTTTTTTCCAATTTAACACTTGAATTTAATT